CAGAATGTTTTGGGGGGGTTGAGCGAGTTTTGAAAGTAAAAAGCTGCATAAGTATTCTGAGTGAAGCTTGGAGAAAATTGTAAACACGTAAAACGTGAACGTCAGACGTCTCTTCGTTGAGCATTTTGACCCTAACCTGAATACCGAATTAAATGCGTTGTGCTTTTATATTCTTGTTAGCGATAATTAGAATCTCTTTTATTTAGCTCCACACAAACGACGATTATTAAACTCCACAAACCTGTTATTACGAGCTGCAGTCACTCGTGTCGCCTGCTGATGACGTACGTGTCACGTGTCGCCTGCCGATGACGTCGCAAGCGCGTTACGTCATGAACATTTTCATGTTGTTGTTTATTTTTAATATATTTTATTATTGTGATATAATTATAAATAGTACATTTATGAATAAAATATTATAAATTATTAAAATATTAAATAAACAACTTTTAGGCACACGGTGTTTGTCTGAGTTTGTGACTTTGATGGAGATCAGCTGCGTAACTAGTCCTTAAGACAGAAATGTACAGATTCTGTAGACCGCTAACAGAAATAAAGTCAATCTGGTTAGTAATAAGTGAAGCTGGTAATGCTGTTTGTGGAGTTGTGTAATCCTCCTCTGCTGAGATCTTCAGAGATTTAATGTCTTTTATCTTCAGCTGATTTCTTCTAAGGCTGTGAGTAGTTCTTGAGTTTCTGTTCTCCTTTTCTTCAGTGATTTTGCTTGTTAACAAGCTTAGACAAGATGAGAGGACTCTATAAATAATATACACCTATTATGTGGCTCAGAAAAGGTCCAGTGTGGTTTATTTCTTTGCTCTTGGCTGACATATGGCGGTCCGCCCAAGTGCCATCATTCTACGCTGCATGTGGGCCAGATCATCTTTCCACATGTGCCAGATGTGAGCCGCATCTGGGCCGACACTATGTTGCTATCTGGGTAGTTTCTCCTGCTCTGTATTTAGTATCAAAATCAAACATTGGCAGGGCTGCGGGCCACCTGTCTAACCGCTTCCAATTTAGCTGATCACACATACATCTGTCAACATGATAAACTTTGTGACATACAGAAAATAATGAAAATGTTCGCAAACAGCCATCCGAGTGCTAAATACTCCAGCTTGTACAAGGGATAGTTTTTCTCCTTAGAGAGACCACTGCTGGCATAGGCAATCATTCTAGTCTTTCCATTTTGGACTATAAAACAATCCCATTTCCACTGACTCTGGTGAGGATTTAAGGTGACTTCCAGTTTGAAAAACCCAACACAGGTGCAGGTGTAAGTTTCTGAATGACAGCGTCCCATTTCTCAGCTAGGGATTGCACGTTACTCCTAACAAGGTAAGATGATTCTGGGCGTCTCATAGAAAACACCCCCTTTAGTAGTGCATTCAAGGGCTTAACTATCTGTAAGTACACTCTAAAAAATGCTGGGTTAAAAACAACCCAACCGCTGGGTCAAAACAACCCAATAGCTGGGTTTGTTCCTTTTTAACCCAGCGCTGGGTTATATTTAACCCAGCATTTTTTAGAGTGTAGCTTTCCACAGATCGCCTGTAGTGTCCAGCAAAGCTGGAGTACCTTCATGAGCTCCTTTCTTTTCAATCACCTTGTGCATCAGAAAACGTAGTAACTGCAAATGATTACTGATGTGTCTCTATAAACTGGATGTACAGCTCATGTCCAGCAGTGACACTGGCATAAGCTTTCTCCAGGTCAAGCACGTACACATGTTGTGGCACAACTGCACCTACCCAAGGCTGACATTAAAGGGTTAGTTCACCCAAAAATGAAAATTAGGCCATAAATCACTGACCCTCAAGGCATCCTAGGTGCATATGACTTTCTTCATTCAGACGAATCCAGTCGGAGTTATATTAAAAATTGTCTTTGATCTTTCAAGCTGTTTAATGCCACTCAGCGGGTGTTGCATGCTTCAGTCCAAAAAAAGAGTAATAAAAAGCGCCCATCCATAATAAAAAGTGTCTCACACGGCTCCGGGGGGTGAACAAAGGCCTTCTGTAGCGAATCGATGCGTTTTTGTAAGAAAAATATCCATATTCAAAACGTAATCATCACTTTAATGTAGCTTGAGCCAACAGTTGTACACAGAAGCAGCTCCGGGCGGATGACGTATGAGTTCAGCTTTGCGCATGCGCCGCTCAGAAGTGACGAACGCGGAAGTGAAGCGGAGAGATCAAAACAAAACAACAGTCACTTATTAGAAGTACAAAACGAGGATTTGTAAAGAAGAATGTCGGAGGATTTCGATATAAGCCAAGAGGAGACTGTTGGAGTTCTTCCATTATAAAGGTCAGATCAGAAGAAAGCACAGGAGCTCCTGTGAACCGCCAATACAACGCTGGCAAGTAAACTAACACTGTCACCAGCAACAGCACATAAGGGAAAAACTGCAGAGAGAGGGGAGAGAAGCACATTTTAGGGGCTAAGTTGTTCTACAACAGAGTGCTGCACATGGATGGGTGAACTGCTAATATTTGATGTAACGGGTGGAATAATATGTGACCCTGGAGCACAAAAGCAGCGTTAAGTCGCTGGGGTATATTTGTAGCAATAGCCAACAATACATTGTATGAGTCAAAATTATACAATTTTCTTTTATGCCAATAATCATTAGGATATTAAGTAAAGATCATGTTCCATGAAGATATTTAGTAAATTTCCTACCGTAAATATATCAAAACTTCATTTTTGATTAGTAATATGCATTGCTAAGAACTTAATTTGAACAACTTTAAAGATGATTTTCTCAATATTTAGATTTTTTTGCACCCTCAGATTCCAGATTTTCAAATAGTTGTATCTCAGCCAAATATTGTCCTATCCTAACAAACCATACATCAATGGAAATATTATTTATTTAGCCTTCAGATGATGCATAAATCTACATTTCGAAAAATGGACCCTTATGACTGGTTTTGTGCTCCAGGGTCACATATTTATGTGGCAGGTGCTCTGCGGGTCAGACGGGTGACAGGCACAGGCAGGTTGCATGTCCAATAGCTAAGACTATTTCAACAAAATCCGGTACACGGTCTGAAGACTGTTAAAGGCTTCTACAGCGCGATCTGCAGCACTGAGAAGAGAACTATAGCCAATCGCGCTGCCACTGATTGACAGCTGTAGTGGTTATATGAAAGGGAGCGCTCTTTGCTCGCTTTCGGTTTAATGATCTATTCACCATTTTAATAAAAGTTTTAGCCTATTTTTCATGCCTCTAAAAAGAGGACAAATGGTCATGTATTCACTGCAGAGTATGCACTATTTGTCAAAATAGATTGTTAACATGATGTACGCATATTTTAATATTGTTTTTTACACAATGGATGTCACGCTCTCTCTCTTTCTCCCCTCTCAACTTACTTGTTGTAAACAAGTTGGGCTGTGTGTCTGTTAATTGTTCTTAAATGCATTAGCTCAGAATGCCTAATGGTTAATTGCTTGTGTTACATGAAAAAATAAATGAGTTTTGTCTACTACATGTAGAAGATTTAATGCGGGTGCAGTTTGGGTCACGGTTTTTATGTAAATGAGTTGGGATTGGGTACGGATTTAAATTAGCGTTGCTGTCGGATAATGGGTTGGGTGTTCTGTTAATTACTGTGTGGGTGCAGGGCGGGCGTGGGACCCATGCAGGACTCTTTCCTACAATACATTCATGATTTTCTTCCATTTATTTTTTGGAAAAATTATTCATTATTATTGTTTGAAGTGAATAAAACGTCACTTCTGTATTAAGGCCTCTTTAGACTTCTGCATGTTTAGAGACAATCATTATTTTAGCAATTTATATGCCAAAAATGCACACACTTCACCTTTAAGTAACCAGGGGGAAAAAACATTTCTGTTTGGTATTGTCTCAGCTTTTGCATATCCTCATACAAACTTTAGAGATTTAATCTGACTGTTATCACTTTGCTTTGGTAAATTAAGAAGTGTTATATCAATCACATGTCCAATATGGAGTGCCACAAGGCTCAATTTTAGGACCTTTGTTTAAGTTAGTTTTAATTGTTACATTGAGGATACACAGCCTTATATTTCCTCAAGGCCTCATAATATTTAAAGCTAGGATACTAGGCATTTTGTACTGCTTAACTCCAAAAAAGAAAAAAAAAAGAAAAAATTGTTTAATAATGTGTGTCATTTTCACTTATGCCTTATCCATGGATTGCTTGATTTTTGGAATTTCAGCAATTACAGAACAAGGGTAAATTGTAATGGAGGATTTTTATTTTTATTTTTTAATTAAAACTGAGTACTCAAATTAATTTGAATAATCGTGACAGCTCTGGATTACAATACTAAGGAGAAAATAATGCCTTTTTATTTTTGGGTGGACCAGGGGTGGCTGGTTAACAGACCATTAAGCTGTAAAACAAAATTAATTAAGCCTAAATTAAATTGATCGAGTGTCTTCAGAGAATTTGGACTAAACTGCTCAATTCATATGGAATAGTTTTTATGATTACATTATGAACTTTATGAAGTGTCAAACTGTCGAAGCAAGGACAGAAATCGCTCAGATTTAATTAAAAATATCTTCATTTGTGTTCTGAAGATTAATGAAAGTCCTACATGAGTGAGAGTAAATGATGACAGAATTTTCATATATGGGTGAACTATACCTCCAGCCAATTCAATGCAAATCTACTAGGGGTGTAAATCGGATGGTTCATCACGATACGATACGATATCGATTCTCATACCCAGCGATACGATATTTGCCGTTACTTCAAAAAATTCTACGATACGATTCGATACAGGACAACATCGATCGATATATCGATCGATATATCGATATCTACATTTGTATTAACTCACAAATGCAACCAAAACATATAACATGAACATTTATCTTAAATTTTCACATCCTGTTCCTCAATTGGGACATTGACAACAAAAAAATAGGTCTACACTTTTTTTTAAATAATGAAGAAAAATAAATTATTGAAAAAAAATAAATAAATCAAGTCACACACAAGATCAGTAATCTTAAGATATGACAACAGTCAAGACAGTCTTTCAGGTTTCTGTGCTAAAATATGCAATGTGTAAAATAATGTAAATCCTCATTAGGAAACAACACAAACGAGGTATTCCAGTTGTAGAAAAAAATACGCTAATGCATAAAAATAAATAAATAATAATAAAGCTGTTAAAACTTTATTTGATACTTTTTTTGGCTGCTATATGGGCTCAGTCCTAAAAACTTGATAACCAAATGCCAAATAAGCAGAGCAGTTTCATCTGCTACACAAACTCGAACATTTGTGCTTGTAGTGTTTTTAGTGTTATCTGTCGCCTTACTATATGAGAACAGTCTCACTTTAACATTTATGTTAGTTGTTATTTATCAAAGTCAAATGATTCCAGATACATTACTATTCAAGTTGTTCTTATTTTCCATCAAACCGTTTAACATTTTTGTTTGATGCTAACTAAAAATTATGATCAAACTAAAAAAAAAGTGTAAAGTGAGATGTAGCATGCATATTAATTTTTTAATGCAGAATTTCATGTTTGAAATGAATATATATATAATTTTGTGATAGTATACAATAAACTTCACTTATAATAATGC